GCCTTTCTGGAGGAACTGTTGGGCTTCTTTGAGACCTACATCTCCTGGGCCAAGACCAGGGTGAGTTGAGCCTTCATTGGTGGGGTGGAGGGAAGGGAGGAGAGGCTGCAGGGTTTTGAGGACACTGACACGTCCTGTCCCCACCGTGTCCCCAGCTGATGGAAGACGTGGCACGTTGCAAGCCCATAGCTCAGACCCTGGATAACGTGGAGACCATCACCTGTAACTACATCCTGGACTCTCTGGTGAGCAGGGCAGCAGTGTGTGGGGTGACACGTGTGTGTGGGGGGTGGCAGTGAGGTCCCCTTGTCCCTCTCATGCACAGGATGAGAGGTACCCATCTCTGTCCCGAGCAAGCAGGGCTCAGCATCTCCCTGGTGGATTGCCGTGGCTAAGAGCACACCTTAGCTCCCCACACCCAGAACGCCTTCTGGTTCAGCCTGGGCTGGTGCACCTTCTTCCTGCTGCCCAGCATCATCCTGGCTGTCAGACTCGCCAAGTTTTACCGCCGCATGGACATTGCCGATGTCTACAGGTGAGGAGCCGCCCACCCCCTGCAACCACGCTGGGGCTGGGGTCCCCCCCTGTGCACTGCAAACCGCCCCGTCATGTGCCCTGTGGGGCTGATCCTAAAGTAAAGCAGGCTGGGGGGAGGACACTATGAGATGGCTTGGAACCTCCAGCCTCCAAGAATGGAGATGCTTTGGAGAAGAGCCTGGCTCTGTCTGCTCTGCAACCCCACTTTGGGCAGCTGAAGGTGCACGTGATCCCCCTCGGAGGAAGGAGCCCAGCTTGCATGGCACGGGCTGCAGCCCCCAGCCTGGCTTGGGGGTCTGCTACTGGGCTTGCTTTGGCTTTGCACCAAAATGGGAGCACAGCTGGATGCTGTGCTGAAGCAGCGTGCTGCAGGGTTGGCGTTGCTGCCACGAGGGTGCAGTGCTCACTCGCATGCCTGTGGCCACCGGTGCCCCGGGGCTGCCCTCCAGCCCTCTGGGGATCTTTCCCCCTTCCCCCCGGG